TGTTGGAGCCACCTCCCGTCACTGGTGCCTCACAGACAATTCTGTAGTCTGTTTATTGCACAGGAATGCCCAGTCTCGGAGACAAGGGAGGCTGAACTAATCTGAGCCCCATTTGCCAAGCCAAGCGTCCATGAGTTTACATCACCTAGACGCAGCACCTTTTCCTAATTCACACAAAGGCAACAAAGAGGCTCACAGCAGCAGCAGCCCTGAACAACCTCCCTGGATTTCAAAGTTTCTGTAAGAAGCTGCCAGATTCCTTGTTTCAGAGAAAGCAGTTTCAGAATATAATTATTATTGCTATTAACTGCTTACTGTTTACTATCACTTATTCTTAAGAACGGATAGAGCCTACACACATAGGAACCTAGAGAACTCTGAAATCAAACAGACTGGCTGTAGAATTTCAAAATTCTAGTCGTGCTTCTATCGCCATACTCTATCATGCCAACAATATGAGTTGCTAGTTGTACCTTACATGGTTAGTTTTGTAATGTTTTATAATCACATTATCCTAAGATGTATTCAGATTAACCTCTACTCAAGTTTCTGACATTAGCTTGTTCTTACACCATGAAGCTAGTAGGCGCTTCAAATTAGGACAAGAAAAACAAAAACACGTACCACAGATTCAGCTCATGTGGTACTTGTAAAGTGAGATTTCTCCGACGCCCCAACCCCCAGGGTGTGTTCCTGGGGCTATTGGCAGACCAGGCTGCCTGACCCTGGAGCACAGGAGGTCCACTGGGTCCAAGCTCCTGGCTGAGTGGCATCACTGAATCTTTAAGCAAATGAGCTTTCATGATCCATCAAGAAATAATAAGTCTTTGTAAATACTATTTCCTTAATCAGGTGTCACTGGCCACGTTGCACATGGCACAGTCTAATGAGGGGAATGAAACCTCCATTTGAGATCTTGTCCTTCCTCTTTTCTTAAATAGGCCCCAAGATGGATTTACTGTGAAAACAATAAAGTTTAAGCTTCAGGACCTAACACTTGCATGGATCTTTTCCAAGACTCTGATCAAAATTTTTTGTAGAGAATAGACAGAATCTGTAAAAAGTATGGAGCCAAATAAGTAGGTTAGAAAGGGTAACAGCAGACTTCCACTTTCATATGCTTAAATTACATTTAAATATGTAAAAGAGACATGGAAGATATAAAGTTACTTGAGGTTATTTTGAAATAGATATACTTAGATAAAATGAACAGATTAGACTCTACAGAAAATATATAGCAAGAGATATATATATCTATATATATATATCTATATGTAGATATATATATAGATATATATATATATAGCAATAGGAGTATCCAAAGTCTCTCTCTCTCTCTTCTCACATACACACACAGCTGAAAAAAAAGACTGATGCAAGCAGTGGGACAACTTCAAGGGACAACAGACATTAATAGGAGACTACAAAGAGGGGAGGAGAAAGAAATCGTTTTTGAAGAAATGATCAAAAATTTTCCAAACTTAAAACTCAAAACATGCAGACCCAAGAAGCACAAGGAACCGCAAGCACTTAAACATAAAAAAAAAAAAAAAAAAAAAAAACAATACCAAGGCATATAAACTGATTAAAACCAATGAAAGGCGAAAATCCTAAAGGTGGTCACAAGAAGGGACACCTGCTGGCTCAGTCAGAAAAGCATGTGATGCTTGATGTCAGGATCCTGAGTTCAAGCCCACAATGGGTGCAGAGATTACTTGAAAATAAACTGCAAAAAAAAAAGTGATCACAAGAAAAAGGCTACTTTCTGGGTAGAAGAACAATAATAATAGTAGAGCTCTTGCTGCAAACAAAGTAAACCAGTGGACAGTGGAAAGTGGAAAGGAAAAAACAGTCACTGTAGAAGTCGATATCCAGCAAAAATATCTTTTAAAATATTAAGTTGAAATAAAAACTTCAGCCTGAAAAAGGTGAGAGAATCCATTACCAGCAGACCTGAACTGTAAGAAATGTTAAAAGAGGTCTCAGGCAGAAGGAAAACAGTACCAAGTAGAACCCTGGATCTACACAAAGAAATGAAGAACACCATAAATTGTTAAGTAGATAGGTAAATATCTGAGACTTTTCCCTTCTTCAAAATCTCTTTAAAATTGTTTAAGCAAAACTTGTTAACAGTGTATTGTGGGGACTTTAACACATGTATGAAGTAAAATGCGTAACAAAAAAAGCACAAACTGCAAGTAGGAAAAATAGAAAAGCATTATTGCAAAGTTCTTACACTACAAATGAAGTGGCATATTACTTAAGAATAGACTATGACAAATTACAATTCACACACAATAAACCCTAAAACCACCTAAAAATCACAAGTTATTGAGGCACCTGGGTGGCTCGGTTGGTTAAGCGTCCGACTTCAACTCAGGTTGTGATCTCACCCTTCATCAGTTTGAGCCCTGAGTCAGGCTCTGTGCTAACAGCTCAGAGCCTGAAGCCTACATCAGATTCTGTCTCTCTCTCTCTCTCTCTCTCTCTAAAATGAACATTAAAAAAAATTATTTAAAGAAATCACAAGTTATTGTAGCTAAGAAGACAACAAAAAGGATGAAATGGAGTAATACAAAATATTCAAGTAGTCCAAAAGAAGGCAGATAAAAAGGGGGACAAAAACTTAAGATGGTAGATTTAAATATAATGACACCAATATTCACATTGACTGCAACTGGTTTTAACACTCCCAACTAAGGCATAGGGAGACTGGATTAAAAAAGAAAAAGGCAAACGGTGCCTGGGTGGCTCAGTCGGTTAAGTGTCCAACTTCAGCTTAGGGCATGGTCTCACAGTTCATGGGTTTGAGCCCCGCGTCGGGCTCTGTGCTGATGGCTTGGAGCCTGGAGCCTGCTTCGGATTCTGTGTCTCCCTCTGTGTGCTCCTCCCCCGCTCGCTCTCTCCCTCCCTCCATCTCTCTAAAAATAAAATAAACATTTAAAAGAATTTTTTTTTTTTAAAAGAAAAAGGCAAAACCAAAATCTATGCTGCCCACAAAATGCACACTTAAAATATATAAACACAAACAGGTCTGGAGTAAAAGGATGAGAAAAGATAATACTATGCTAATGTGAAATTTTTAAAAAATTCCTGCTACGATTAACCTAACAAGAAGATTTTGAAGCAAAGAATATTACCAGGAATAAAAGGACAACTAAATAATGATATGTCAATTCAACATGAGCACATTAACAATCCCAAACATTCATGAGCTCTTAAGAGTTTCAAAATACATAAAGCAAAATCAGAAAGAAAGAACTACATGAAAAGAACTAAAAAAAAAAAGACAAAATCCACAATCTACCAAGGAATTTCAAGACCCCAACCTTAAAAATTAGCAATGACAGAAAATCAGTACGGACAGAGAAGATATGAACAACAAAACCATCAGTCAACATGACCTAACTGGCATTACAGATTATTTCACTCAAAAATAATCATACGATACATTCTTAACAAGTGCATATGGAACACTTAAGAAGATACGCTGCAAGCCATAAAGAAAGTCTTAGAAAATTTAAAAGGAATCAAATCATACAAACTATTTACTAACCAAAATGGAATAAAGTTAGGAGTCACTAACAAAGATCTTTGGAAATGCCCAAATATTTGAACACACATTGAAAATAACCCATGGATCAAAGACAACGCCAAATGGGAAATTATTAAGTGTTCTGAACTGAACAAAAACAAAGACACACTATGTCAAAATTTGTTGAATGTACCTAAGCAGTATTTAGAGGGAAATTCACAGCATTAAAATACCTGTATCAGAAAAGAAGGTCTCAAGTCAGTGACTCCAGCTCACACTTTAAACTAGAAAAAGAGCTCACACTTTAAACTAGACTATGACATTGGGGCGCCTGGGTGGCTCAGTAGGTTTAAGCGGTCGACTTCGGCTCAGGTCATGATCTCGCGGTCCGTGAGTTCGAGGCCCGCGTTGGGCTCTGTGCTGACAGCTCAGAGCCTGGAGCCTGTTTCAGATTCTGTGTCTCCCTCTCTCTGATCCTCCCCCGTTCATGCTCTGTCTCTGTCTGTCTAAAAAATAAATAAACGTTAAAAAAACAAAAATTTAAACTAGACTATGACAAATTACAATTCACACACAATAAAACCTAAAACCACCTAAAAATCACAAGTTATTGAGGCACCTGGGTGGCTCGGTCAGTTAAGCATCCAATTTCAGCTCAGGTCATGATCTCAGTCCATGAGTTTGAGCCCCGTGTTGGGCTCTGTGCTGACAGCTCAGAGCCTGGAGCCTGCTTTAGATTCTGTCTCCTCTCTCTCTGCCCCTCCCCTTCTCATGCTCTCTCTTAAAAAACCTTTAAAAAACTTAAACTTAGGAAAGAGCAATAAATAAATAGGTAAATAATTCTGAAATAAGCAGAATAAATAAATTCTGAAATAAGCAGAAGAAATAACAAAGAGCAGAAATCAGTAAAATAAAAAGCAGAAAAACAACAGAGGAAATCTGATGAAAGCAAAATCTGACTTATTTTAAATCAATAAACGGATTAAAAAAAACATATTAACAATATTAGGAATGAGATTCCATGAACTTTATGCCAATAGATTTGACAAGTTAGAAAAGACTTGGAATAGACTGGACAACAAATTCCTTTGAAGATGCACAAACACCAAAGCTTACTCAAGAAGAAGAAGAAGAAAAAACATAAATAATCCTAAATCTACTTTTCAAATTGATTTGTAATGTAGAAGGAAATTCCAGACTCAGGTTAGCTTTATTGTGAAATTCGACCTAACATTTATGGAAGAAGTAATGACAATATGATACAAAGTCCTTCAGAGAACTGAAGATGAGGGAACATTTTCCACATCATCCTGTTAGGCTGATGTTTATAGGCACTATAAACCAAAACCAGAAAGATACGACACACCCCTAGAAGAGCCCATTACCACCTTTCAGTTATAAAAAATAAGTCATAAATAGGTACATAAATGTCTCAGAAATAAGTGAAATTACTACTCAACAGTGGTGAGATTTTAAGGTTTTCATTTTATTAAAAATATAGCAACACAATAGCAGCATCATTTGATAAATCTTTACTAGTACCACTTAGAAGTAGCCCTACTCACATAAATATACACGACCTATGCAGCATCTTATGTTTACATGTTAAACTCTTCCCTTGATAACCCATAGCATCATGTAAAGAACACTATTGTAAGATTAAGAAGAAGAATATTTAACTATTAAACTGAACTACCTATACAACGACACAATACACCCAGATGTAATCTTCTGTGGAAATCAGGGAGTTCTGCAGATTGCCCCCCAACCATTTGTTGCCTACCACGCTGCCTCAAGTTGATGGAACTCCATCTCTTCAATTCTAATTCTTTCAGCATGATTTTCATAAATTTGAACTTGCACATAGAGTCAAGAAATTATCTATCTAGCAAAAGAAAGTTAAGAATGGAGAGAACTACTATTCCATTCCAATCCCAGGGAAATAAATCTTAGCAGTAAAATATGTGAAGTTTCCCACAAGTTGGCAATTTTCAAAATTAAAATGTTAGCTACATACAAAGTTAATTTAAAAATCAGGAAACAAACTAAAACCCTGTGTTTAAAAACAATATATCAAGAAATGTTCTCTTAGATATAAACTAATTATTATGATAAATTACTTGCTAGGAAATACAAAAATACCTTAAAATAGAATGGAAAGAAATGTAATTATTACTTACTACCAACCTAACTGAATATGGACCAAAAAACCATCAATAGCTTTAGCTTTTGTTTTTAAAGTAAGGTATCAATCTTCAGGCAAAAATCACCAATAAGAGCGTATTTAAGAAAAATTCACCCACAAACCCAAAATTAGGTAAGGAAGTCAATTTTATTTTAAAAGACTTTATATTACACTATACTTACTACTGCTTCCAGAAATCTAATTTAGCCCTTTTAAGAGCCCTAACTTTTGAAATTTGAAAATAAGCAATTTTAAATGAATTATTACACTAGCTAAATAAACGTGAGGACACTAAGTATGTAGGTAGTGAAAAGAAAAAATAGTTAAACATATAAGGAACATACTTTGTGGACACGGCTCTACTTCATAACCCAGTCCGTTAAAATCAGATACTATCTTTTAGTGAAAATATAAGAAATAATGCACTGAAATGTTATTTAATGCATCCTTCCAAAAGGATTCATACTAATAGCTAAGTCAACCACTAACAAGACTAATCATAAAAATATGATTTTATCAAATCATATTACTTCTAATACATTTTTTTAAATGATTAAGGGCCTATTACTACATATTGTAATTCTTAAAATTAAATAGTATCTTCAGGGCTGATTTAAAGACTTTTTAAAGTTTTAAGATAAAGATAGCAACATATATATAGGAATGAATGAGGTCCTGCAAATAATGTCACAAATGAAGTTACTTTCTTGACAAGAAAGGATTCTAAACTTGAATTTTTCTTTTAAGCATGTCAAAATTTAAGCCTCTGACACTTCTGAAGATCAATATGGTATAGATTGAAACTACTGAATGTAAGAATTCTAAACAAAATCACAAGTTGACTAGTGTTTGCAATTATAAATTAGACTAGATGGAGAAATAATACAGAGGCAAATGCAGAAGTTAAGGATTTATGCTTGTTTTCACACATAAAACTGGTCACCTTATTATGAAGGTCCACCTTAATATAAATAATTCATCATGCACTGTGAAAAGAAACATGAGGATCAACAGAATTTGTCTAGAATGATAAATAGCAACCACAATTAAGGAACAGAATGTACTCTCTGTATAATCAAGCTAAAAAAAAAACGTAATTAAAAAAGGGATCAAGTATACAATTACTGTCTTCTTGGCCTTACCTCAAGTTTTCCTGACATCTACCTGGGATGAAAAAGAATAGTCTTAAAGAAAAAACAAAATACCTTGAAAGAAAGTAACAAATAAATGGAAACCTACCAGGCTCCTATAAGTGAACAAAGAAAAGAAAACCTATCCCTCTCTCTCTCTCTCTCTCAATCTCTCTCTCTCGCACACACTCACTCCAATACCTCCAAGCCCTAGAAAACTTTGCTTCCATAAAGACATTTAAGAACATGTTTCACTCTCTCTGGATCTCCTATATTCCTATTCATGTCCTCCTTTTACAAATCAGTGTCTTTCAAAAGAAGTATTTTAAAACTGAATATCATCAGCAAGAAAAATAATTAGTAGCAGGAACCTAATTATATTAACTGCCAACAAAGGAAACATTGAGTCCGAGTACAAGAAATAACTCAAAACACCACACAAACATGTTTTCTCCACGTTGAAACAATTTCTATGCCAACTAAAACAAGAGAGACATGATAAACTAAGATGCTGTTTTGAAATGCATAAACAAATACTCTCCTCTAAAATACTTAGCTTTATTAGAGAAATGGTACTAAAAATAACAAAGATTCAAACATTTGCTCTATTCTACTACATATTATAAATAAGACAGCTGTTGATGCAAGACACACACTCACAATCTTTCCATATGCACCCAAGCATTCTTGTATCAGAATAAGCTGTTTACCAGCCAACCGTATGTGGTTGAATGATTAAAATGACCATCTATACTTTACATAGTAAAGCATTTTCAAAAATTTTAATGTACACGGTGACAAAAAGGAAAAAAAAACACAGTAATTCTGAACACATGAAGAGTAATTAAGCAGCTTCATAATCAAACCAGGCTTCATTACTTGCAATAAGGGCAATTCTTTCCATTTTCTATCAAATACTTAAGTTTCAATAGTATGAACATTAAAAGAAAACTCAAGTTGAAACCAAGTAACTGATGTGCTACTCAGCTTTTTAAATCTATAAGTAACTCTTCCCATGAGGTAAGGCAACGGAGTAATTTGATTGTATTAGATTGCATTAAAATAATTATACTTGATTTTTTTTTAATAACATGCTAATTGAAAGGTATAACTTTTGGGGGAATACAACAATAATGAAAAGATTTCTGAAATTATGAGTTATGGCTTTGGGGAAAATATTAGCAATGTTGTCATTTTACTACTTGCATACTTCCTGCAAAAAGTGAGCCTAAGAGTAACGGATGACCTATATTTTAAACTCAAGTAAACATATCCTTAAAACAAATAATCTCACGTGTTCTGTTTTACATATAATTTCTGCACATCACTTACGAGAAGATGATTAAGAGGTAATAATTAAGGCCATCCAATGGAGACAACGAAAGTGTTCGCTCTGATTTAAGTAAAGTAAGAACATGCTTCATATTCAATTATCACAGTATAAAACTGATGGTCCCAAAACTGCATTGTTGTTTTAAGCTCTGAAGTCATTCTTAAAAGCAGGACTTCCCTCATGTTAGGTGAGCTATGTAAGAAGCTCTTCTCTGACACACTATTTTGGACACTTTCTCTATGGGAGTGAATGAAATATCCATCTAAGTTTCGTATGAATTGAGAATGACTAGCACATATAAAATTCTAGAAAACAGTATACCACATTGTAGAAGGCACTAAAGCTTCAGCTTGTGCTCCCATAGCCCGTTTTGAAAACCCAGTTTTCTTTTAATAATGGCACCTTTGCCACCTACAGCTGACAACACACACTGCAATATTATTCATAATAAGCTTGGAAATGTCAAAAAAAGTTCAAAAGGAAATGCTTACTTTGTGAGGAGACCCAATGATTCTAAACGCTGAATACTAATCCATTATTATTAGTATTCAATACAGTTGCTCTTCCTTTTGAAAGAGAACAGTAGCATGCATTGTCAGTTGTTTGTTAATCCACTTATTTAAGCAATTTTAGTCTGTAAAACTATTTTAACAAAAAACTGTTGTCCTAAACAGTGAGCAAAAGAAAACACAATAGTGAGAATTTAACACAACCACCGTAAATCCTGTGAAGTAAATGTTAAAACTTCTTACATACTCTGCACTTACAAGGGTGTGTATATATTTGCACCGATTTCAAGCACATCATCAAATCTGTATATATTGAAATTAAAAAAAAAAAAAAAAGTAAAACAATACAAAATTCAGTAACAACCATTTTTTAAAAGAGCCTCCAATGCTTATCTCCAGTCTCTGTGGACAGTACAAATTTGGATCTTTGACGTCCCATTTATTTGCAATGGTTCTTGGCAAACACTAACAAACCACATGACAAGTGTGTCAGCCACCATGGAAATGCACAAATTCTAGAAGATGAGGAGTTTGGGTAACACCTGTTATTTTCACGATGTCCATGCTTTATTTTCTTACTCAGTAACAAGATGGCCACAAAGTCACCTAACAACTAGAAAAGCTGTTAGTTCATATCTTCATACTCAACTGGATTTCTTCACTGTATAACATCTTGTTGGAAGAATTAATAGCTTTGGATTTTATTCCAGCGTGTGTTTAGAGGTGCATCTGTCAGTCCTACACTGCTTCTGTTTTGGTAGAGAGGTTTTCTTCATTTGGCTGACAATTCCCATTTTGCTGGACTTTGTTTTCCTCAGTCCTTGGTGCATCCTTGTCATCTACTTCTTTGCCCACACTTGAATCTGGTTCTTTATTGTGTTCCTTCTCCTACAATGAATATTAAGTTGTACACTTAATATTGTCTGCTATTACATCTGGTTATGGCTAAAATATGTACTTCAGTGAGCTTAATAAAACAGTATTTTCTCCCATTACCTTTTCAGATAAATAAGATACACAAACATGTATCAATATGTCCTCTGGAAATTGTAAATTAGAATAAAATAGTTGAGGAGAAAGTCTAAGTGTTGAAAAAATGTTACTTAATTGAAAAAGTGGGACAGATCTGTTGAAAGAGTTAAATAGGTGCCAAAGATGCCAGGATAGATTTGTAATCTGCATACCAAAGAAGCAAAATTCAGAGGCTATAGAAAAAGAAATCGCAACTCATCCTAGCAAAGACTGCTCAAGAACAGTCCAATTCTGCCCTCAGTTAAAGGAGAATTACGTGAGAACATGTGGAACAGTGCCTGACACACGGTGATGCTCAAGAGACGGTATCAATACTATTGACGATGATACTAAATCTCTATGAATATAAGCGTAAATAAAACCAGAACATGAAAGCTCCAGAACTCATAATTCATTTCCAAATACAAATACATTTACTGGTATAACAAAAGAATTAATGTAATTCACAAGTAGTTAAATATTTATCCAAAAAACTGACTTGGTAGAATTTGCTTTTCCATTGATTATTCTAATTCAACAAACCTAATTTCAGTACACACTATAAAACGAATGATGACAAAAGTTTTGTCAAATTTGCTGAAACAAATATTATTTCACAGGAAACAGATATATTCTGAGGAAAATGGCCCCAATCAGAAACCTTATATAAAACCAAATCTATGTTACCTATAGACAGTCTTTTTGTATGCCAGTCTAGGACTCTCTAAAATAAGGAATGCATTTGTCTGAGTTTCAGTTAGCTCGTACCTCATCCCTTCAAAACTTCAGCTTAAAAAAGTTATCAATTGAACATTAAAGAATACCAAAAACATACAAGATACTATAGCTCTCAAGAAGTTTTTGGCCTGAAACTAGTTATGTATAAAAATAACAATATCAATTATTAATTATTCAAAGCCTAAACACTGAATGACTGTTGCTTACTTTAAGTGAAGTATTATTCTTCTCCAACTTTTCCTTTCCATCTCGGTCATTAGAACTCTTTCTTGTAGAGGTTGAACGTTCTCTCTCTCTTCTTTCACTGATGTGGTCCCTTTCTTTTTCTCTCTTTTTATCCTTCTTATTTCTGCTATAAGAATATCGAGAATATATGCCAGTGAATGTCTAAGAAATTGAAGACCTACCATGCTGTTGACAAAACAGCCTTATCTAACACTAATATGTTGTAAATAAGCGTATCAGTAACCTGGTTTGACCAAGTAATATAAATGGACGTTATAACCCCACCTACTCCACCCCATACCCCAATTAGCTTTTTAAAGATACACAGAGGCCACCATGTGTTCACATAAAACACAATTTAGTTTTTTCAATATCTTAGTTCAAGACTAATTTATCTGCTGTAATGAGATTAAAATAAAACAAAATATGATGTTTTACCTACTTTTTCAAAGCAAAAAAATGAATAAACAGACAGGAATGAAAAGGATAAAGAATTAGAGGTAGCTCCCATGGAGGGCTGAATGACTACTAGCAAAACTTCAGACTGCAAACAACCTACTGTGCACTGCCCTCATCATTCACCATTAAAAGGACACCCACCGATTCAAGATGAAAGTTAAAAAGAAGACTAAATGAACAAGTTCCATGTATAAAAATAATATACCTTTAGAATTAGAGAGAAAAAAAAATTCAGAGCAGAGGTATAATACCTTCTACTTTAAAATATCAACCTTCATAGGGAACTCTAAGCTTTTTTCTCGTAACTATGAATAGTTTAAAAATAAAGACAAACAGGGGGCGCCTGGGTGGCTCAGTTGGCTGAGTGCCTGACTCTTGATTTCGGCTCAGGTCATGACTTTACAGTTCATGAGTTTGAGCCCTGTATCGGGTTCTGTGCTGGCAGTGCAGAGGCCCTCCCCTCCCCCCCATGCCCCACTCTCTCCCTTGAAATAAATAAACTTTAAATAAATAAAAATAAAGACAAAGACCAGGAAAACAAAGATACTTAGCAAACAGATCTAAATACATAGGAAAATTTAGTTTAACAAGGGTGGCATCTCAAATCATTGAAGAAAAGATGATCTTTTGTCAGTAAAAGGTTTGGAGACAATTGGATTATATTATCTGGTAAGTGCTAAAACTGGATCTACATCTCTTATCTCATTCCATAATATATAAATAAGTCCAAATGGATCAGAGACCTAAATTTTTAAAATAAAATGCAGCTGCTAGAAGAAAACATGGGTGAACTTCTTTACTAACTGGGTAAAAAGAAATTTTTTTCTTAAATGTTTTATTTATTTTTGAGAGAGAGAGAGAGAGACAGAGCACGAGTGGGGGAGGAGCAGAGACAGAGGGAGACACAGAATCCGAAACAGGCTCCAGGCTCTGAGCTGTCAGCTCAGAGCCCGACACGGGGCTCGAACTCACAAACTGTGAGATCATGACCTGAGCCGAAGCTGGACACTCAACCGACTGAGCCACCCAGGCGCCCCAAAAAGAAAGATTTTTAACCATAACTAAAACTTCAGGTACAATAAAAGAAATATACGTGTGCAACTCCACATAGTATATCTTTCTACATAATTCTTAAATGTCAAAGGAACAACCACATCAAACTGCATAAAATTCTTAGTAATAAATTGAACCAAGGAGGCAAAAAATGTGCTGAAAGAAATGAAGACAAATAAATAAATATGGACTAGAAGATTTAAATACTGTTAAGATGACAACAGTGTCCAAAGCCACCTACAGATTCAATGCAACCCCTATCAAAATCCCATTGCTGTTGTTACCAGAAATAGAAAAACCCATTCTAAAATTCATGTACTATCTTAAAGGACATCGAATCAACAAAACGATCTTAAAAAGAACAAAGGTCGAAGCTTTTCCGAACTTCAAAACCTACTACACAAAAGGTACAGTAACCAAAGCAGTGTAGTATTACATAAGGACTGAAAATAAACCCATGGAATACAGCAGAAACTCCAGAAATAAACTTCCACATATATGGCTCAAATGATTTTTGACATAGATGCCAAAACCCATTTAATGGGGAAAGGACAATCTTTTCAACAAATAGTACTGGGAAAACTGGATATGGATATCCTCCTGCATTAAGAACGAGGATGGACCATTATCTTATACTATATTAAAAACCTGAGTCAAAGTTTTTTTGATTCAAAAAGCTTGGATCAAACACCTAAATGTAGATGCTAAAACCATAAAACTCTTGGATGAAAACATAGGAGAAAATCGTCATGACACTGGATTTGGCAGTGATTGCTTGGACATGACACCAGAAAAAAGACAACAAAAGGAAAAAATAGATAAATCTGTCTTCATCAAAATTAAAAACTTTAGGCATGTGAAAAGACATCCCACAAAATAGGAGAAATATTTGCAAATCATTTATCTGGTATAGGATAAATGAATTTAAAGAACTACAATTAGAGCCTGGAGCCTGCTTCGGATTCTGTGTCTCCCTCTCTCTCTGGCACTCTCCCACTCACATTGTCTCTCTCAAAATTAAATAAAACACTAAAAAAAATAAATAAATAATACAAATAACCCAATTTGAAATGGGCAAAAAGCTTGCAAAGACAGGTCTCCAAAGGTACAGAGATGGTCAATTAAGCACACAAGAAGATGCTCAACATCACCATTCATTAGAAAAATGCAAATCAAAACCACAATGAAATGCTACTACACTCCTGAAGAATGACTATAATCAGAAGCAGACAATAACAAGTGTTGGTGAATACATGGAGAAACTGGAGCCCTTGCACATCGCTGTTGGGAAGGTAAATGTGTGAAAACAGTCTGGCAGTTACTCAACAAGATAATGAGAGAGTACCACAGGATTCAGCAATTACAGCTCCCAGACAGGTATCCCAGAGAAATGCAACCATATATCCACACAAAAACTTGTACATGAATGTTCATAGCAGCTTTTTTTTTTCTTAACGTTTATTATTGAGAGACAGAGAGAGACAGAGAATGAGCATGGGAAGGGCAAAGAGGAGGAGACACTGAATCTGAAGCAGGTTCCAGACTCTGAGCTGTCAGCACAGAGCCCGATACAGGGCTTGAACTCACAAACTGCGAAATCATGACCTGAGCTGAAGTCAGACGCTCAACCGACTGGGCCACCCAGGCGCCCCCATAGCAGCTACTCTTAACAGCTAAAACAAAGAAACAATACAAAGAAGTTCATCAACTAAAGAATGGATAAATAAAACACAGCTTCATCCACACAATGGAATATTGCTCACATATGGAAAGAAGTATTATTGATACAAGGTAAAACATGAACCTTGAAAACATTACATTTAGTCAAAGAAGCCAGAAACAAAACACTACATGTACTGCATGAGTCCATATATGAAATGTCCAGACCTGGCAAATTCACAGACACAGTAAGGCAGACTAGTCATGGACACTACTGTGAACCTAACTAAAAACCAATGAATTGCACATTTAAACAAGTGAATTTTATGATATTTGGGTTATTTCTCAATTAAAAAAAAACACACATCCAAAGTTTAAGTGGGGCTACAAATAGTCACACTCACACACAGTATATATATTGTATATGCTGTCTATTCTGAAGGAGAAATCCTAAGATAGATCTACTTAATTTTGCAAAGAAACACAAGGATAAAAACAATGGATCACTGACAGAAGGTGGATAGGATGCAAGGTAGAAGAAATGAGGAGGCAATGACTTTGTGAACCCATCTTTTTGTCTAATTTGAGTTCATAATAGTAAAGTTTTAACTTATATGAGCAAAGTATTAAAAATACATTTATATGACCCACAACTACAGTATCCTATGCTTTCCATTATTCTCACCTAAAAACAATAACCCACAAGCAAATAAACACAAGACACCTGCTGAGAAACATGCTCCTCTTCACACTCTGGCAAAGTTTGTCAATTTCTCTGTTCCATACCAAGAAAACCACAGAAAACCAACTGAAAAACTCTGACCAATTACTAAGGTGATGGGATGAAAAATAAATATAGAGAAATCAATAACCTTCATTTGCACAAAACATCCCATTAGAGGACATAATGAAAGAAAAGATCTCATTAACAACAAAAGACCTCATTAACACAGAAGGTGCATAAAATCTGTATGAAACAAACACTGAAGCACTCCTAAAAAATACTAAGGACGATTTAGTGTCGCCTGGGTGGCTCAGTCGGGTAAGCGTCCGACATCAGATGAGGTCATGATCTCATGGTTCGGTTCTGGAGTTCGAGCCCCGCATCGGGTTCTGTGCTGTGAGCACCTAACCTGCTTTGGATCCTCTGTCCTCCTCTCTTTCTGCCCTTCCCCTGCTTGCTCTATCTTAAAAATAAAATTAAAAAAAAAAAAAAAAAAAAAAAAGGACGATTTAAACAAGTAGAAATATATACCATGTTTCTGGATAGACTCACCATCGTAAGGCTTTATTTATTAATAAACCTATAAATTTCTTCTAAGTTAATAAAGTTAATCCAACTGGTGCCCACTAAAAAGGAGAATTAGAGCAATATCCCTGATGAACATCGATGCAAAAATTCTCAAAAAGATACTAGCAAATCGAATCCAACAATACATTAAGAGAATTACTCACCACGATCAAGTGGGATTTATTCCTGGGCTGCAGTGGTGGTTTAATATCCACAAATCAATCAATGTGATACACCACATAAATAAAAGGATAAGGACCATACAATCATCTCAAAATATACAAAAAAAAGTATTTAACAAAACACAGCATTCTTTCCTGATAAAAGCCCTCAAGAAAGTAGAGAAAGAAGGAACATACCTCAACATCACAAAAGTCATATAGACCCACAGCTAATACCAAAGACCCACAGCTAATACCATCCTCAATGGGGAAAACTAAGTGCTTTTCCCCTAAGGTCAGGAACACACAGGGATGTCCACTCTCACCACTGTTGTTCAACATAGTACTTGAAGTCCTAGCCTCAGCAATGACAACAAAAAGAAATAAAATGCATCCACATCAGCAAGGAGGAAGTCAAACTTTCACTCTTGACAGACAACATGATATACTATGTAGAAAACCAGAAAGACTCTGCCAAAACACGAATTCAGCAATGTCGCGGAA